TTGATATAGTCGGAATTTCAATTGCCACCGAATAAAAATATGGATAACATTTGTATAAACTTTGATTTATTATTACATAAATTTATTTGTGAATGAAGAAAATAATTATAATATTATCCCGACTATATAAAAATCCCGACTATATCAATATCCCGACTATATTAAAATCCCGACTATATCAATATCTCAACTATATCAAAATCCCGACTATATCAACATCCCGACTATATCAAAATCCCGACTATATCAAAATTCCGACTATATCAAAATCCCGTCTATATCAAAGTCCCGTATATATCAAAATATGGACTATATCAACATCCCGACTATATCGAAATCCCGACTATATCAATATCCCGACTATATCAAAATCTCGACTATATCAAATTTCCGACTATATCAATATCCCGACTATATCAAAATCCCGACTATATCGAAATCACGACTGTATCAAAATGCCGACTATGTCAATATCCGGACTATATCAAAATCCCGACTATATCAAAATCCCGACTACATCAAAATCCCGAGTATATGGAAATCCCGATAGTATAATTATTGATATAATTGTTAGTATTCATTTACTATTAAAATGCATAATTTCAATTAATTCTGTTTCTAGCTATACCTTGCATAGTGCGGCTTCGATTAATATAATGGTTTTTCAATGGAAGATTTGGAAAAACTTGCTGGCAACAAAGACACAGAAAATTAAAACAAAATTATAGCAGTTGCTGCTGAAAAAATGTTAAATGTGCACATACAACCTCAGACTAATATTTTAAAATGTGATGTCACTTTGTATGTAAGTTGGTTGTTTATTTAATAAAACTTTTCTTTTTAATTTAGTTTACATAGAAACTTAACTTTTGAGATTTAACTGCTTTTTTATGTTTTTCTTTTGGATAAGTATACTATATATAGATCGAAATTTGAAACAAACAAACTTTTCTATTTAATTGGCACAAACTCGCTTAGAAGTTCATTTTCATTATTCATTATGATTTTTATTAATATTTACTATGTTTTCATAAATTTGCTACAACATTTGGTTAAATTTTATCGAAATGGGCTACGTATATGAAACACTGATCATGGTATTGTATTACCTCTGAATACGAAGTTTCGTTTTTTAATCTTTTCAAATATCAAATTAAGATTCAAAATGCAATTGGATAATTATAGTTTGATTCATTTACAAATAAAATTTCTCGAAAATTTATTGAAATCAATAAATAGTTTAAAGAGAGAAGAAGGAAACGTCAGTGCATGCTTTCATACATTTTCTTTCGTTTTATTATACATTAACGTTAGAATATTTATGAGTTGTTACAATAAATATCAAAGTTGAAATAACCATATAATTAATGCACGTACGGAAAATATATAATTTCTGATCAATCAAAACATTAAAATCTTATTAATTTATTAAAATGCATATGAAATAACATGAGTAGTTGTAAACATATCTAAAAATAAACGCAATTATTTTCTTAAATCAAATTCATTTCACTAATTACGTGTATATGTTTGTTTGATACATTTCTGTTGTGATTTCATTGTTCGCAATAAATGTTGAAAGAACCGTTAATATGGAAACCTAGAGCAAATAAGAGAATATTGTGAATAATTCATGAGTTTCGACGTGATGCAACTCGGTAATCCGCATTTGGAGATCATTCATTATTTATCGGTGTTGATAATGTGAGGAGTAGGAGAATGCGCTTAATTGGATAAACAGTGCATTGGATGGAGCAGTTACTTGGGAATACTGGATAGAAAGTGCGTTCCTGCTGCTGCTCAATTGCGGTCAACAATCTTAGATCTCCGCTCTATTCGCAGTGGCTTGTGTTGTGCGTTTGTGTAAAGACATCGTCTGTGGACAAACAGGAAACAACGTCCTGTTGTTTTTAGCAATTTATTATTATTATAAAGATGAATGAACAACGCAGTTGTGGATTATCATCTGGAGTGGAATTCAAGAACCTCGCCTATAAAGTTCAATTAGGTTACAAGAAAGGTATCAATCAGTACTATTTGTTCTTAACAAACATTACATTTATTATCTTTCTTTTTATATACATTCATTATAAAATTAATCAAGAGAGTTTCAAAGGTCGTTTGTATTAATACTTATAAATATAAGAAGAAAAATAATGAAAAGTGAGTTTCTTTCTTCTTCCAAGATAAAAAAAAGGAATCACTGTTTAATTCCAATTCAATAAAACAATAAATTTAGAAGATTTAGGGCGGAAAGACCCCGGTCGTTAGCCCTTTGGCCAGCCTATTAATATATATAATTTTTTTTTATGTTAGAATTTATTTATTTATATACAAAGAATGTACTTTTTTTTCCTTATGTTTTAATATTTGGCCAATAAATTATTATTATTATTTTAGAAGATTTATAAACCATAATTTCAGCAAAGTATTAATATAAACAACTCGAAACAAAGAATTTATTTCAATATAAATCATATCAGTCCAATTTACATCACTTAAGTTACAGATTTAAAATAATTTATACTAAAACACGTTTAACCTTGAACTGTTTGCAAATAGATCAAAACTTTTCAAATAAAATATACCAATAAAATATGTTAGAAGTAAAATTTATTAAATAAATAAAAATGCATATACAAAGTATAATTTATTACTTTCTTTAAATAACAAATTAATAATATTCTTTGAATAATATTTTTTTTTAAGTATTTACTTCAAATTATTGTTATCTTACTGTAAATTTCATTTTGTTTACTAATTTTGATATAATTACAAAGTATGTTTGGTTGTCTACATCAAATATATATATTGACAATAAAGAAATTGTCTCAAGTAAGTTCAGTGCTAATTCGTTTATTATTAATAACAATATGAATAAAATTGAAACTAGATTTGATTATAATGAAAAGGTTTCTTATCGTGTTTTGTGCATTAAAAATTGTTTATCTCTAAAATTTCTGTAGATAATTTAGTGTCAACTTGACCCTTGACTTGTCTAAATCTATAATAAACAATTTGTTTTCACAATTTCTTGAGCAATTATTCGAAATTTATGTTTTTTTTTTTAGAAAATTATCAACTAACTATAAACAGTTGGACATTATTAATAATGTTCTATGAGCGAATAAGGTTGTTGATCAAAGTGCGTTTACTGGAAAATAAGTGATCAATTATATATTTTTTTTCCGTACTTTATGTCGAAAAATATGTTTTCCTTTTGCTAATAATTATAATTAAAATACATTTTATTTTTTCCTATGAATACTCGTTCATTACCAGTTCACAAACATATATTGTTTACAATTGAATCATAGAAATTTCGTAATTCTAGCTTGTTTTTAAAAACAAAGTTATAAATAAAAACTTTACATTTAATTGTATAATTCTACAAAAAAAGTACTTGTATATATTTATATAAGTATATGTTCTTTTTTTTTTCTATTTTTGTTTTAAATTACTTTTATTCTTTACAATCTGTCACGTACTGGCAATAAGTAAATAGTTTTGATAATGAAAATGTAATATGAGCGGAATAATTTCCCATTGTAAACCTTCTAAATAAAAAGTATATACAGTCAACCTACCTAAAACGCGGTGAGTGCGTACCGCGTTATATGGAAACCGCGCTATAAGAAACTGGGATTTAACCGTACAAACCAGGCTAATTCGTAGCGTGTTCTATGGAAACTGTCTACCGCGTTGTATGGAAACCTCGTTATAAGAAACTCGGAATTAGTACAAATCACATCATTCGTAACGCATTATATGGAGACCAATAAATACAAAAGACAAGATAAATTATAAATTATTTTTATTGAATTGAATTGAAGAGTTCATATAAGGATTGATAAAAAAATGAAACAAGAACTAAACTAAAAGACTGTTTTTCAACAAAAACAATGAAGACTTTTGTAAAATTATGTAATCTTTCAACACTCATCCTCGCTGTCAGATATGAGTCGCCTAACTCGTCTTCTTTTAATGGGCAAATAGTTCAACTTCACATTGGTTTTCGATTGTAGCTTTTTTTTCTAACTCCACTAAAACCTCTCTATAGGGAGTTAAGCAATTTCTTAACTCTCTTTTGAACTTTGCGCTGCGCACCGTTGAACGATCAGTTTGAATGAAATCAAGTTCTAATTCTTTAGCCAAACTTAGCCCTTTTTTCACACCTTGTAAATCGAGATTTGGCACCATTATTTTCGTTTGCCAATGCATTTGAGGTAGATGCATCTATTAATTCCATCAGTTCTTCCTCATCTAAAGTTTCTTCCCCGAATACTAGTTCTCTTACATCCTGATGGTTTACTGCAAATTCTTCATCGCTTAAACGAGAAGTAATGTTTACTATTTCTGTAACTGGAAGTGAAATTGTAGAATCATCTTGTATTGCTTGAACCATTTGAGGTAAAAGAGGTTTCCAACACGAATTAAGCGTTGATGGTTTAATTTCCGCGCAAGCCGATCACTAGAGTCATTCATAGGCTGCGCGGAAGGAACTTATGGGATGCTGTTGAACGGAAACCGCGCTGTAAGAGTACCACGTTATAGGAGGGCTGTCGCAATTTAAGCTCCGCGTTATATGGAAACCGCGTTCTGAGAGTACCGCGTTATAGGAGGGTTGACTGTATAAATATTAATTTTAAGTGTAACAGTATTTTTTGTCAATTTTTCTATGCTATGCTTAAAATGCTTAATTAAATAAATGTTTTTAATAATGATTCATAATTTGTTATTATGTTTTAGCAATTTTCAACAAGTTTAGTTTTGATTAATAATAAAAAAAATATATAAAGATTTGATTGCATGTATATCAAGTCAAGTTCAATCCTCTTAAATATCAATTAATTAATTTATAATACATTTCCTCTTAATTGATTTGAGCTTTGACATAAATACATTTATTTTTCAGATATTATTTAGTATTATTAATACAAATTATTATTACATCAACCGTAACATATCCACTCAAATCTGTTTTAATGCGGATTATTTTTACTAGATTTGATAATATCACTGTTTTTGTCAAATGGTATATATTTCTTTAATTATATTGCATAATCGGATGAACCTGTTGCTAAAAAATGTCATAAATTGCATAAAAAGTGGTTCATTTGCCTGAGAATGATGAAATAATTGAGTTTTTTTACCCTGATTGATTCATAATTTGTTATTATGTAATTGTATGCAGGCATCTCTTTGTACAATATATATAGTCATCAGTCTTAGCAATTTTGAACAAGTTTAGATTTGATTAATGAAAAAAATATGAAGATTTGTAACTATTTGGTGTTTGAATAAATCTACCAATTTCAAATTTTTACATCAAGTTGAGTTCAATCTTCTTAAATCTCAATTAAATAATTTATAAGACATTTTCTCTTCATTGTTGAATTTTGACATAAATTTATTTTTTAGATATTCGAAACATTTACACTCAAATCTGTTTTAATATGGAATATTTTTACATGATTTGGAAATAACATGATTTTTGTGAATGTTTTTCAAATTAAAGGTGAAATTGCATATGGGAATGAACCTGTCGCAAAAAAATGTAGTCATAACTTGCAAAAATTATAGAAATTGGTTCATTTGCCGATATAGATGAGTTGTTAGTTGACAAATCTGTTGAGAATGATGAAATAATCTGATTTGTTTTTCGAAAATCATAGACATTTTTTTTCTTTTTTTGTCCCAGTTATCTATTTTACGTGAAATAATAATAAACTGGTAACATTAAAACAAAACAAAAAATATAAAAGGAAGACAAGGAATTGATCCAGTAAACAACCTTAACGTAATGACATTGAAGACATACGCATAATCAAGACACGTATTCACGAATTGATTAAACTAAAAACCATTTGGTCTTGGGACTTGAAACGCTTCAGTCTTTGGCGATGGTTCTGTTCTGTGTTTGTCAGCTCTGCAGCAAGCGAAAAATCACTACTGCTCACTACAAGTTCAATAAAAAAGGGCTTCAATCAGCGAATTAGAAAACAATTCTCTTCCTGAAAATCATGAATTGACATCATACATATTATATTTTAAAATTAATCAAGAGTGTTTCAAAGGTCGATTGTATTAATACTTATAAATATAAGAAACATAATTAAACGCCAGTTTTTTTTTCTGCTTCCAAGTTAAAAAAGAATTATTGTTTAACTCCAATTCAATAAAGCAATAAGTCTAAAAGATTTATAACCATAATTTTAGCGAAATAATATTTTTTTTTTAGAATATGAATGGGAGAACTATTTAAAAAATAACTGAATATATTTTGAATAATTAATCTTCTGTTCGATGTGAAAAATCTTATTTTGAATAAGCCGTAAAAGAATTACAATAACCTTTTCAGTTTATTTATATAAAATATTTAATATAATTATATTCGAATATAATATAGTATTATTTGGTTTTTATTTGAAGTCTGTAACGTACTGAGGATATTCATTGCTGATCTAAAAGTAATGCAAATCGTTTGAATTTATAATAATTAATTCTATTAATTTTCGATCAAATTTAATGTAAGAATTATTTGTTTATTGTGGGTTGTCCGGAAAGTTGCCATTGGCAATGCCTTAATATATCAGAATTGTTAATAAAAATTGACTTGTTTCAGTTTAGTAACATCTTGAAGTTGGATCAAAACAAAATACATTTTAGACTCTTATACTTATCTATTACTCTAAAACTATAAATGCTACTAAAGCAAAAACTAAAATGTATACTAGTTTAGCTAAAAGAACTGTGCGAAAGTAATTCGCTGGTAGTAATAATAATGATGAAGGTTTAAGTTGCGTGCAAGATGCAGAAAGGTGTAAAGATCAAAATAGTGTATACATAATTAAAGTAAAGTAATTTTCATCGAAAATCGGCATGAACTATCCAAATTATAATGATATTTTGATAGAAAAATCAAAGGTATTGAAAACTATATGTTTCGTGAAATGCAAACATATTATTAAAATAAATTAGTGTAAAAATATAATGACATTTCGTATGTGAAACGTGTAATTATGAAATAAAATATTATTTAAAAATTTAAGATAAATTTGTATAGAGCGTAAATATAAAATTTACAAAATTTTATAAAATATCTACTAAAAGTAATGTTCAAAATAAAAAAAATGTTTTCTATTTTTAGGATATAAAGAAATATTGAAAAGCATAAATGGACGATTCCCATCAAACAAACTTATTGGAATATTGGGAGGATCAGGATCTGGAAAATCCACTTTGCTCAATTTATTAAGCGGATATGAGGAGGGAAAATACTCAGGGACAATACGTACTTATGGAGTGGATGAAGACTTGAAACAATACAGAAAGAAATCTGTTTACATCATGCAAGACAACTACTTGCAAGATCTGCTAACTTTAAGGGAAAACATGGAGATTGCAGCTGATTTGAAATTGGGTGATCGTTTCGGGTGCTACGCCAAGAAAGCTATTGTAGGTAATACATCCATAAGCTGTTGAAGCAATACACCTGCAACAATGTGTTTCATTTTCAGATAGACAAGGTGATTTCAGTGATGGGCTTGAAAGATGCAATAGACACGAAAACGGGGATTCTATCTGGAGGAGAGAAGAAACGATTGTCGGTGGGTTTGGAATTAATCAACGAACCATCGATCTTGTTCTTAGATGAACCGACTACGTAAATTGTGATATTTTGTAATAATTTATGGATTGAAATTGATGATTTCAGCGGTTTAGATAGCTCAGCTTGCACGCAATTCATGGAGCATTTGAAGGAGTTGACGGTGGAGGGGAAAACAATCATTTGCACAATTCATCAACCGTCTGCGACGGTTTTCAATTTGTTCGATGAAATCTACATCCTGCAAGATGGGTCTTGCTTTTACAGAGGAAAACCTGAAGATTTGTTACCTTGTCTTGAAAACAATGGATGGACTTGCCCGTTGTTCCACAATCCTGCCGATTTTGGTAAATGAATGCATCGGTAGTAACTTGGTACTCGTCAGTAAATCTTTCGTGCTCAGTACTGAACAAATTTAAGAAAAAACAATATCTTAAAAGTTTACATTTTACTTGACAAATTTACACTTATAATAAAAATCAACTTTCGAGCAATTTAAAATGCGACTAATACTGAATTTGATGAGTTCCAAAACTATCGAATACCGAGGCTCTACTGAAGTTAATTTATTTGATTTACAGCGATCGAACTATCAATCAATAATGTAAACATCGTGCAAGAATCTGTCTGGGAATGCGAAGAAGAAGTGACGAAAGGTAATGCAATTATAAAGATATAAATTTATCATCTTGTAATTAAACCTTTTCCAGATGAACCTTGCAACACTAACAAAGTGGATATATCAGACGTCAGCGAATACTATAGTTTCAAAGTGTTAATGAAAAGGGAATTTCTAAAATGCATTCGAAACAAGGTAAATCCTTTCGATGTTTTCGATGATTATTATTTACATAAGAGTTATTTCAGACATTGACTTACCTCCGGTTGATCACGAGCGTCATGAACAGTTTAACGTTGAGCGTCATCTTCTGGAAGGTGGGTTCGGATGCCTCGAAAATGCTTTTCAATTACAATTTTATCATGGGATTCCTTCTGCATTTGATGACGCCCTCGCTTATGCTTACTATATTGACTTGTAAGCGCTGAAAACAATAGACAGGAAGTTAATTGATATAATCTATTTCTTTTACAGATCCCAACGAGAAGTTGACTCTGTTTCGAGAGCATTTTAACAGGTGGTTTTCTCTGAAGGTTTACTACTTAGTCCTAACTCTTATAGAGTTACCAATAGCGGTAAGTTGAATAAACAGATTAACATATTAACAAACTGTTAAATTCATCAACTGTCAAATTCAAGTGTTAAAACGCTTTGAGTCTCTGAGTCAAATCAGTTAATAATATGAGTATGCAATATCCCGGATAGTGAGGTTTTGATCAGTGCGGATTTACTATAGTCCGCATTTAACATTTCAAATCTAAATGTAATTAGGCACATTTTGAAAGGTTTTTTTTTTCTATACAATATATTTTGTGATGTTTGATTGTATGCCGTTTTAAAGACCGCGATTAATACGGTTTCAAACAGTGCGGGCTATTGGTCTGTAGACAAATACTCAGTAGAATTTCAATACTTGCTTTACCAAAGAACTTGGTATTCTTCGAATATAAATAATTCAAAATCTATATAATTAATGATAAACTAAACTAATATAACAAAAAAATAACTAATATTTCTGGTAAATAACATAACTATATAAGTTAAAGTTTCAAGTTGAAATGAAAAATTCTTTTTAAATCTTGTATTAATTACATGTTTTTTTTTTCTAAATAAATTTTGGTACTTTCTTCTGAACATTAACAATTAAGTTTCAATATTTCCATCACTCCAATTATTACCCAATATTTATTTCCATGAAATCGAGTATATAATATTGACAAATATAAGTTTTATTGTTAGTTTGGTTGCATATATTACAAGTTGCAGTATTTTATGTACAGTTATACCAAGATTTACAACAGTGTAACACGAAATTAAACTTCGTTTTCAGTCGTACAAAATACAATGAACAGATTCGTAAAGAAAATTTTCGAACAAAAAAATGTTTTATTAAATGAAAAGTCAACATAAAAAGTTATGTGTGCTTTATTAATCTCTTAATAATACTTTTTCCTAAATCGTGATCATTTTCAGCAAAATTATTTAAAACTTTTTCAACGACATTTAAAAACCTTTTTAAAAAATGGGTGGTTTACATTTTGTTCGGTAGCTATTTCTTTAATTTTGTCTTTGTTGCTAACAAGGTTTCTATCTACTGCAGAGGTTCTCTAACTTTTTTGTGTTGTAGACCCCTTGCCATGTTTTTCGGTTTTGGGTAGACCCCCTAAATCTTTATAATTATTAAGATCTTTTCTCTGAGACTGTGCGTATGCTTGTAACAAGATGATACTGGTATATCATTATGTGCAGGTTTTTACAAGTTCAGTGTATGTTGAGATCTGGTCTATATCGAAAGCCCGACAACCGACATCCCGACTGTATCGAAATCCTGACTATATCAAAATCCGACACCATAATCCCGACTTATCAAATCCCGAACATATCAAAATCCCGACTACCATAATCCGACTATATCAAAATCCGACAACCATAATCCCGACTGTATCGAAATCCCGACAGTTCTTTTATTTTATAATGTATACAATAACATTTTTAAATTATTCCGAAACGTAGTCACCATCTATTATTATTTAACTATTATTTAATATTAATAACAATAAATTATTATGAATAATTCAATGAAATCAAATACAATAAATAACAACAATTAATAATTCAACTCCCCCCGTTATATTCTAGAAATAAAAATTGTCAAAATGTTTATTATTAATAATTCAACGAAATCAAATACAATAAATAACAACAATTAATAATCTCAGAAATAAAAAAGTCGAGCGATGAATTTTTAAAATTATCTTTAATAAATTAATAAAATAATTATAATGAAACACTGTATAATGAAACTGTTTTGGCGATCATTTATAATAAAAGACACTGTCGGGATTTCGATACAGTCGGAATTTCTATACAGTCCGGATTATGGTTGTCGGGATTTTGATATAGTCGGGATTTCGAATGTCGGTGTTTCGATACAGTCGGGATTTCGATACAGTCGGGATTTTGATTGTCCTCCATTGTGGACCCCCATTTTCATTTCATGGACCCCCAAATTTTTTTTTACCTGACATAGACCCCATGCAGGTTGTCATAGACCCCTGGGGGTCGATATAGACCACTTTGGGAATCACTGATCTACTGCAATCAATTATAAACATTGAAATTTTAGAAACATATTATTATTTCCTTCTTCTAGTACTACTTCTGGGCATATCTTGCACCAAATACCATTTAAGCATTTCTTACTTCTTTCCAAGAACTTTCAATGTTTTGGGAAAATTGCGGATTTCGTTATATATATAACCAAGTTACGATTGTACAAATAGTATTATACAATGATGAATACATAAACTAAACATAATACAAAATAATTGATTAATTTGATCAATTTATGTGTTATTTAACATGGAAAAACTGCTTTTATTTTTTCATAATCATTATTTCAATGATTTTTATCAAAATTATTATTAATTATTGTTTGCAAGCGTTAATTATGTAATTAATAGTAGCGAAAAAATATGACTGATTCTCTTTTCCACTTATTATATGTTTAATTGCTTTTGATAATATCGTATAATTGCAATACGACTATTGCACAGCAATTAAATCAAACAATTTGTAAATGTTATGAAGACGAAATTGTGATGAGATAATTTTATAATATGTACAGTTCGAAGTCAACCTAATAGATCAATATTTTATTGTCACTAAATGGACGCATTTCAGAATATTACAAAAATAGGAAATGTTTACTAAATGTATCAAATTGTCATTAAATAACCTCGCTTAACGAGCACCTCACATAACGAGCATTTCGCTTTACGAGCAAAATTAATTTTTAAGAAAAATGACTCGCTTAGCGAACGACGTTTCGCATAACGAGTGACGATGAAAAGAGATTTTGAATATGTTTCACTACGCGAGTAAAAATCCGGAAATTTTGGAACGGATTAAACTCGTTAAACGAGCTAACTTCTATACTAACATATATAAAACTAAATGCATGCGACAATGCAGTCAAAGTGAAACATAATTTTTGTAAATTACAACCAAAACTTTGTCGTGTCCCAGGGATGATTTTCTGGACACTGTGGGATATCTTCTTCTGTTGTCTGTTGTGGAGCCTTAGGTTTGGTAAATAATAAATTGAACGAGTTTTACTTTTGGTTTATTATTAAAATATTCGATACGACTTTATTCTCTTGCGTTCTTCCTAAGACTAATTACAAATCCTTACTCTACGTATAAAATTAACTAAGCAAGGGGTGGGAGTTTGAGGAGTTTTGATAAGACTGCTTCTATACGGATTTTGCCAATTCTGCGTCTGGT